GCTATTATCTAACCATCTTATCCTCTGCTGTCCCTTCTCCTTTTGTCCATAATCCTCCTGCCTTTTCTTATATCTCTATTCAGTATTTCAAGAACCAAACAAAGAAGAGACAGCGGGCATCTCTGTGTTGTTCCTTTTTTATCTTATAGGGTTTTGTTAGATGTCCATTAATAATTATTTATACTTTTGTGACGTATAAATTGATCTTACCCATTTTATAAAGCACTCTCCAAAATTTCTATCTTCCAAAATCTTGAACAAGAAAGCCCAGTTAAAATTGCCAAAGGCCTTCTCTGCATCTAAGAAAATCAACACTGCTTGCTTTTCATTATGTTGCTACAAATATTCCAAAATATCCAACACATATCTAACATTAAGATGTTAACAAAAATATGGAAATAGAAGATCACATAAACTTTAATATTGCTGAGAAGCATTTCTTGATAAAAATGAACATTTTGCCTAGAACAATGTTTCTTTTTCAGACAATACCTGTTTGATAACTGATGTGCCATTGCATCAGTGGCTGAAGGATATGTCTACATTTATGTGGCAGGAGAAAAAAATGAGTTAAATATAAGCTGTTACAAGATGCAAAAAAAAGAAGGTGATTGCTTCTACCTGGTTTGAAATTGCATTTTGCAGCTTGCTGTTTGGTTTGGTTGAAAGAGTGGTTGCTGCTGAGGAATAAAAGGTTTTTGGAATTACAAGGACACAATCTGAGATTTAGGGGACATGGATATTTATGGTTTAATGTGGATTTAAAAAATCATATTATACATGTTATATTGACAATACAGAATAGATACAAACCCAGGTTCAAGGATGGTCTCAGCACACAAAGCATTTTATAGCTGAAAACTAATAGACAAACACAATGGCTAACTTATTGAGAGATATAATTTTTTTCAAGAGAAAAGTAAAATAAAATCAAGAAAATAACTGGTGAAAGAAGGATATAGTTTTCATTGATTCTTCATAGGTTTTCATAGGTATTAGATTTAAAGTAGATAAAAGAGTTTATGATTTGAACAAACATGATTTGAATTTGAAATAGAATTATGTACAAATAATGAGCACATAATTGCTAAAATGCATAAACTTTTATTGACATTTGAAACAGAAGAACAAGTGAATGAATTTATGATAAAGTGAGCTGAATTTTTTGGTTGTAATATACTGAGGGAACAAAGGGGAAATATATGATTGAAAGGACTAAAATTTACACTATATTAATCTTAAAGAAATTTTTTGTAAAATGATTGGTATATATCACTAGAGAAATTGACTAGAATGTATAAAAGAACATCAAATGTACATTAGAAATATGAAAAAGAAGGGATATTTTATCATTTTAAAAATTAATATATAATTGAGATCATAGATTTTTCATTTGGAATTGATGTACAAACAGTTATTTAAAAAGTCATGGATTTTTAAAATACATAATAACTGTAGCAAGGTTATTGTATGCATAAAAATGGAAAGATTTGGTACTATCCTTAATGGTGAAATGGTTGGTGAAGATGATGAAACTTGCTGAGATGGCTAAGTTCTGTTATGTGGTTGGAGAAAAGACAATATTTGTGTTTATTGCTACCCCAAATTCCCTTATGGACATTTTGTATAAAAATGTAAAAGAGGAAATAATGAATTTATGATTTGTGGTTTTGATGATTAGACATGATAGATCAGGGGTGTCAAACTTAATTTCATTGAGGGCCACATCAGAGTTGTGTTTGACCTTAGGGGGCCGGGGTGGGTGTGGCTAGGGTGGGTGTGGCTAGCTTGATGCCACTCGTTTGGGGCGCCTGTGGTGGTCCGAGCACTCTGCCAGCAAAAATGGGCTTCCAAGCTCTGTTTTCAGCTGCGACAGCCTCCTGCAACCCTCTGCCAGCGAAAATGGAGCTCGGGAGGACCGCACATGGCCCTCCTGAGCTCTGTTTTCACTGGCAGAGGCACCGCAGGCTGGTCCTTCGCTGTTTCCAGGTTCCCACGGGCCAGATCTAAGCATCCTGTGGGCCAGATTCGGCCATGGGCCTTGAGTTTGACACCCCTGGGATAGAGTATAGAAAGAAGAGAATTACTTTGTAACTAGAGTAAAAAGTAAATTTATAATTGCATTTATGATTGTTGTAAAGAAGATTGGAAGGTACTTTATATATGTTTTCTTTTCTATTTTCATTATACCTTTTCCCTTTCTTGCATTTTTAGTTTTCTTTTTGATTTCTTACTTTTACTTTTTCTTTTTTTACTTTACTTTAGTTTGCATTATTTTCCTTTTTTAAAAAATTATATAAACAATCGCCAAAATTTTATTTTTTGTTAAAACGTATCTTATATTTTGATAATTTTGTATTACTTTGATACAAATTATATCAAATAGCAGATTTTGTGTGTCAGATAAATGTGGCAGCTTATATACAATGTACTAGTGGGGTAGGGAAAATCCAGATAAAGAATTTAGTTCCTCCATCTGCCTCCACCCCCTTGCCAGTCTGGTTCAATATTAGTTACACGACTTTCTGGAATGAAGCGTTCGTTCATCCATTGTGATTTACTGACATTGGCCACAGCCTTGCAGCTGAAAGAAGGCCTTCTACTAGTGATGTTCTGTAATCTTCCAGTGCTAACCTGGATTTTAGTCTAGATTCGGGTATGATTCTCAGATCTTTTATTCTGTACTTGCATTCTGTGATTGGGTTTGGAAATTTTTTAGTTATCTACTAGAACAAATGTCAAAGAACTGTGACATATGCAGGTAGTCCTCCCATTATGACAACTGAGCCCAAAATTTATGTTGCTAAGTGAAACATTTGTTAAGTGAGTTTGTCCATTTTACAACTTTTCTTGCCACAGTTGTTAAAGGAATCATTGCATATGTTAAGTTAGTAACATGGTTATTAAGTAAATCTGGATTGCCCATTGACTTCGCTTGTCAGACGGTCGCAAAACCTGATCACATGACCTCAGAACACAGCAACCATCATAAATATGAACCTGTTGCCAACCATCGGAATTTTGATCATGTGACCAAGGGGATGCTGCAAAGGTTGTAACTGTGAAAAACAGTCGTAAGTCACTTTTTTCAGTGCTGTTGTAACTTTGAACAGTCACTAAATGAACTGTTGTAAGGCAAGGACCACCTGCATTTTTCCAATAGAAGACAATTTCTGTGGAAAACTGATGATGCAGATTAATTATCTGATAATAATGAGCAAGTCTGAAACTGGTCAGGTATAAACAATGAAGAGATGACAGAAGCAGACATATTGCTGCTCTAACCTAAGCAAAAATCCAAGAAAAAAAGCAGAATGAAACTGTATTGACTTCTTCCTGTTCTGTGGTAGACTGGGGTTTATAAAGCCAAATAGAAATGGAAACATATGTGCCTTTTGCAGTTTATAGGTAATATGCCCACAATATGAAATCTGCACGGCTTAATTTCTGAGACAAGTATATTCTACTGACAGGTTTAACCACAGATTCTCTTTCTATTAATAGTTAGCCAGTGGCTTTTGGAACTAGACTTGAAGCAAAAATCACAGGAAATATATATGTAAAACTCTGAACCTTTAGGAAAATTGTTAATTATAAACCTTAAGTGCAGGAATAAATAAGATAGTTGAACAATGTTGGAACAGATCCTCTCATTTTTTTCTTAGCTTTCTGATGCAGGCATTAGAGGATGGCTCTGATTTGGCCATGCCATTGGGTAGGGCAGCCTGCAAATACAATCAATGATGTTTTCCTATTAACCCCAGGGATACAGGACATGGAACTCTTTTAGGGTTGGCCAATCTTTGACTTTTGTTGTGTTTTTTAGAGGAAATCTTTGGAATCCTGCCAGCCAGATTCCTGGAGCAGAATTCTTGTAAACATGGATGTAAAAAACATGAGCATGCATGTACATCAGCTTGGTTGCCACAAGATGTCACCCTACCTTTACAAAAGTTGCTATTTCAGCAACAAATTATTGTACAATGGGAAACTAGTATGCTTTGTAGATTATTGAATGGATATCTCTTTATTTGAAATTATCAGAAATGAGTGAACCTGGCACACAATAGAGCCTGGGTTATGGGGGGAAGGAATTTAAATCAATCTTGCTGATGTTTCTCCCAAAAACTATTTGAGGTAACAGGAAAGGCAAGCTGGTGCCCATGTTTATTTGGCAGGACGAAGAGGTGACCACGCAAAGCAAGAGACTGACTGTTCTTTGAAAAAAAAGAGACATCTCTAATCTATTAACAGTAGCAAACAACTGCTACTTGTGAGAAATAAATATGTTGACAGAAAAACACAAGTGTCACACCCTTTGGGATATTTTCCTTGAATGTTGCAAATAGGCTATGCCAGCTGAAGGTACAGCAAAGCTGTGCATTTTGCTTGAGATTGATTGTACAACTACCTACTTGGCAGAATCTATCTCCTGCAATGTGGGAAGAGTTTTGGCCCTTTTGTTTTCATTACTTGTTTCTGCTAATGAATATCAAATACAAATTCATATACACTATGTTCCTAATTTTCACTATTTTAAACTTTCTTTTAATTGATCATTTCATATATCATAACATCAAAGAATACAATGCAAATTTTGTCATATATAGGATCATATGCTGCCTCATCCAAGAAAGTGTATATTTTTTTCTCTGAGAAACCTTCACATGAGGAGAGTCCAAAAATGTCTTGAGAATGCTTTCAGCAGCTTAAAAATTAAAAAATCTTAATGTCTATCACATCTTCTTCCAAGATACTGTTTTTCAGTAATTCCAGTGCAATATCTAATTTCCTATCTATGATTTGCATGACCTTCCTTCCTTCCTTCCTCCCTGACAGCATGTCACACTAGACAGTTGTGCTAAGAAACCACATGGATGGGTGAAGCTCAGCCACAAGAGTGTGTGCCTTGTAACAAGTTCATTGTCAAGGTTGGGGATATTCAACAGTTCTGTAACACCTCAAACTTTTATTAGTGCACAGAAAAACTGAGTCAAAACTGTTTTAAAGTTAAACTTTATTTTGTAATTCTTTATAGGAATATCAATAAAAGACCTCAAATGTATCTCTATCTGTACATATACAAGAACCTGTTCAAAAATATTCACAGAACAAAAATAAATCTTCTTTAGAACAAACCCAGACAATGAAATGCAGAAGTAGATCCTGGGGACCTGAGGAATCCAGCACTATGAGCAGAAAAATACAGGACTGTGGTTTGGAGGATGGGTGGGGTGTGGAGTCATAAAATAAAGATCCAGATAGAAATAAATTATTGAAAGCTAACACTGAAAACAAATGTCTGGTAAGATAATTTTCATTAAGGCCCTGAAGGAAGCGTATTGTTGTACTTACAAAACTCACAAATGCTCTCACCAGCATACCCCTCTCACCCCATCTCTTAGACTATGGGGGATAGTCTAATCAAAGGCCATAGATATCATTTTACCAACACCACACTAAATTTGGGAAGGAGGCATTATAGTCGCAACCCAGATTATTACAAAGCTGCCTACAAGCTTGCATTTCTGAAATGGCACCATTTCATGATTAAGAGAGAGCCAAATGGAACTCATTTCCCAAACCCAACTCTTTCTCATTTCAATGGCAGGTTGATACAAATGTATAGACCAACACATTCAGTTGTCCAGAATGATTCTACTTCTTTCAGAGGACTATGAAATTCAGCCATCCTGGGGCTTGGTGTCTCTTTCAGCCTGCTACCACCATGCACTTGAACAGACTTGCTTGGGCTTCCCTGAAAAATATAGCTGATTTCCCACATGAAGAGCAGAACGTTGATCTCAGGCTGTTCTCAGAGATATCCCAGTTTAAGTAAAGTATCTGAGGCTATTTAGGAATGTGATATTGAAATTATTTTATTGCCAGCATTTGTCTTTTCCATTTTTTTTTAAAGCATTAATATAAGGAGCAATTAAGGATTTCATTAAATCTTTAGCAAATTGCTTTATCTGGGGAAAAAATGGTTCTAGTGCAACAAAAGGCATTATGGCTGACAGCCTCAAATTCTATCACGTAGTATCATGATGCCATATAGTTTTGACTTGGCTTCATGTACACCCAGAGTAGAAAATGATGGCCATTCGTCTTAGCTGAAATACAAACCTCTTAAAGGAATCATCCAAACTAATTCCTCTTTCAAGTTGAATTTTAATTTTTAATTAGTTGAACATGCTTTTTAAAATACTTTAAAATTAAAAATGGTTAATTCTAAAGGAGTTTGTTTCCTCACTGCATAAATTTTAATCCATCACAAGCATTTTCTTTACTTAGAAAATGGTTTTATTTTTGTGAGTAGAAAAATACTAGTTTGATAAATTTGTTGATTTTTATAATGGTAATAAGAGAAACAAAATGCACTGTGACTAAAGGAGTTGTTTGGAGAAAATAGGGATTGGTACAGGGTTAAAGAGGCCCTTCTCTGTTCAAAACTGGCAATTCACTCCCCATATTGTAATGGTAATGCTGCCTAGGGAATGCTGAGATAAGAGAGGGCACAGCCTACAGCTGCACAATGGGTGGAGAGATACAGAAGGAACTATCTCTAGCTTCTAAAGGAGATGGCTAGAGATTTGTATTTTCAGACTTGTAATGTAGCTTTATGATAAGGTAGAATTAACTCATTTGGCTGTGTTTCCTGTCTGGTCTATCTGGGAAAGGCTGAAAGCTATTCCCATTTTAAAAAAATCAGTCACAATTCCAGGCTCTAAAAGAATCTATGTCAGCCTCTGTGCTTGTTACAAGAAGCCAAAATTGTAATGGAAAAAAACCCAAAAAGTTTATTAAAAAATGGTGAAGAAATGTTTCTTAAAATACAAGCTTCTTGCAAAAACAGAAGCAAGAATAAAGAAAACTTTGATGAATATATTTCTGGAAAACTGGCAGGTATTCATGGATTTTTTTTTAAATAAAACAATTCTGAGGAAATTATATAATAATAAATACTGCTTTCTTCTTGATCTGGAATTGGCAAATCATGGCTGGCGGTCAGGTGTAAGCATCCTGGGCAAAGGCAGCCTATCAGTAGCCTCCACAGAGGCAGAGGATGAGATCAGAAAAGGTTTTGCCAGTATATTTGACAAATGTGTAAGAGAAGATTTGTTATCATTTCAATTCATATTAAAATATATTTACAAGAATGAATAAAGGACAATAAATAAAGAAATATCTTTAAATAAGGAATGCCTTGTAGTGGTAAAGGAGAATGCCTCTTAAAGTCAAAATATGGCAGGATAAAGTGTTTCTGGTGCAGAGATGAGGTGGACCCTTGCTAAATATGATTTCAAAATTTTACTGGAAAATTTGAGGGTTGTCTTTTTTCAACTTTTGGCTACGGTTGAAAATAGGTAGCTGAAACAACTAAGCAAGAAGTTGAAAAAGACAAAGACAGAAAAAAGCAAGGGGAAATAAGTTCCAGGCCAGACACAATCACATACAGAGATGCAGTTTGCTAGGAGCTTTATGGAGGAGTAAGCAAATACAGTTAATGACAGGCAGGGCATGAGCAAAAACTCACACTTAGTACAAAATAACACTCAAACTCTTGGTGAGCTTGCTTGCAACAACTTTCAAGCTGGGAGAGCTCAAATGAGTGGATAGAAGGATAGTTAGATCATGTTCCAAAGGTCTACCCATTGTGGATGGGTTGGCAAGTAGTCAAATTCAAAGAACTAGAGTTTTAGGATGCCAGGGCATTATTTGTTGGGGATTTGTTGGCTGCTTCCCACAACAGAAACCAGGCTAGCAGAGACTCTGAAATGAAGCCTATGCTGGTAAAGCCAGTCAAAGTGATATGATGACTCCCCTGGATGGTTCCCCAGATAACTCTCCAGATGTCAGTTTGGAGGAGGATGAACCAGTTCCAGGCATGTCTAGAGGGGAGTTGACCAATGGCTCCAAGCAGCTGTCAGAGAGGATTTGGCTGAAGCATAGCTGCAGCAGGACAGCTCTAAGGTGAGGAAAACACGTAGCTTCAGCCAATCAGTGATGAGGAAGAGGAACTGCCTTCTACACCTGATCCAAGAACATGTAGGGCAGAGAAAAGGCAGGAGCAGAGAAGTTCAGCCACATTACTCGTGAGGAGAAAGCCTCACCTTCTTGATGGGCTGCAGGGAAGCTGGCTATTTAGCACATCAGACAGATGGAGGCGATCCTGGGAACAATGTGTTCATTTCCTAGCTGTGTGTCATTGTGATTCCTGCCTTGCTTTGGATTGACACTGTGCCTTGACTTGGATTGTGCCTTGTGAATTCTGGGCTTTTCTTGACTCATGAACCCTTTTGTATTGTGGATTTAATTTTGCCTGGTGGGTTTATTTTGATTGGGAAACTTTCAAGTGACTTGTGGACTCATTTGCCGTTGCTCTGTGGATTACCATTAGTCTGCTTTTGGCTGGACTTAATTGGGACAGTTCTGAGTTTTTGGTGAAAGGAGTTGCTGAGGAATATTAATAAACACAATAAACCACAGGTGTATGTGTGTTTGTGTTCATGTGTGTGTGTGTGTGACAGAGAGAGAGAGTGCGTTGGTGAGGAGAAGCCCAGAGCTCCATTGGTCTGTTCACCATACATGGAGTACTTAGACTAAAGCAGGTGCTCTGGATTCTGTTCATCTTCTGCTGGGAGTGGGGCTACTCCAGATTATTGCGGGCTGGATCAGTCCCAGACCATGATGCTCAAGGTCAAGATCCTCGAGTCAGACTTGGCCATGTGAAGCGGGCTACAGATATGATTCTGGAAGACCTTCCTGTGATATAGCTGGCAACTGACATGCCCAGAGAGAATGTCTCTCTCTGGACTGTCATTTGTTTCAACTCACTAACAGAAGGAACAGGCTTTCCTTTCATTTATCGGACTCTCCTGGGTTAGTGAGAGTCCTAGGATCATCCCTCAAGATCCTCTGATACAGCAACGGTCTGCAAGTAGTTTCAGAAGCTGTGCTTTGAAGCAGATGGTGAGTTGAAGCTGAGGGCAGAGGGTTGCAATCACTTCATTGTTGGATAAAACAGCAGTTTTGGAATTTATTTTTTTAAATGGACAATAAGTAATGCCTTTCATTTATTAATTTATGAGATTATTTTCTTTATTAGCTAAAAGATGCTCTCTTTAGTCACAGCCTGTTACTGCTTTTTGAAGCTCTGTGTCATTTTTAAGACTTCTTTATTGTTAAAGGACAAGGGAAAGGGTTGCTAGCCACAAGCTAAAAGAAGGAAATGTGCAGTATCTTTTCTTCTTAAGTGTGATAAAGAAGTGTAAGTGTAAGGATAGAAAGTTGTGGTTTTATTACACTACTTTTGAAATAATATGTAGCTTTGGATTGTTTTGTTGTGGGTTCTTGAAAGTCCCTGATTTTTATGAACTCTGGCTAGAAAAAAAATAAAAATAAAAATAAAAAAACTTTTTGAGCACTAGAGGGAGCTACGAAGATGCTTAAACCAGAGCTTGAATATTTTGTTGCGGAAATCTTTCATAAGTCTTTACAGAGAATAATTTACTTTGTAAATCAAATCGGTATTAAATATAAAAAAGCAAGAGGTGCAATTAGGTGTTGAAAATTATCAAACCACTCCCTTCCAGTGAGTGGCCATTGAATACATGCCCAGGAAGGATCTCTGAAGGGTTCAACTACTTTTCAACTACTAACTGAAGGGACTGGCATTCCTTCAGTTTATATGATTCTCCTGGGGTAGGGAGAGTCTAAGAATTACCCCTCAAGATCCTCCAATACAGCCGAGGTTTGCAAGTAACTTCAGGAACTGCGCTTCAAAGCAACTGCCTGCTAAAATTTGGGGATGGAGGGACTACAGAAAAAGATTTCATTCTATGAAGATAAGCTGGAGGGAGTGACTTAAATTTAATGACTTAATTAGTTTGGATGGATTTTTATAAGTTTGATATGTTTATTGAAAGAAAACTTTAAGGTAGTTTTGTATGTATCAAATGAGTTTGTAAATGCGTATCTTCTGTCTTTTTATGTAATGCTTTACAAAGTTTGTAAAATACTATCGATTAAATCTGAAAATAAGAAAAAAATCCATTCCATGAGGATAAACTTGAGGGAGAGATTTGAATTCAATGAGTTAATTGGATTTATATTGGTGTGATATATATAACTGAATGAAAGCTCTAATGTAGTGTTGTGTTTTGGGTTCTGGGTTTAAAATAAAGCCTCCCCCCCTTTATATATAATACTTGAGTATTTTTTTAAATTTAGTAAAATATTAATGCTAGAAAAAGTGTTTTCTCCCTTTAGGGTTAAATTTATTTTGAAATAATATAGAGCATTCTCTTAATATGAATTATGATAAAAATTAATGAGTTAACAGAAGCATATATTATTCCCCACAGCAAAGAGGAGCAGAGATGGTCAAATTGATTCTTTTATGCAAAGAAGAGAATATAGCTAAACTTATTTCTATTTTGAAATTGCTTCTGGATTTTGTGCTTGCAATAAAAAAAGTGAAACTTTCCTTTTCTTTCTGCTAATTAGACAGGTTTATTGTTGTAGAAATGGCTTGTACATACTGTTGTGTAAAAGTAAATTAAAGTTCCAGTTGTAATGATATCTTCTACTGTGCTAAAGAGAGTTGGAAGTTGGTGCCTTTTTCTTTCCTTTTCCCTCTTTATACCATTTATTTTTTCTTTCCCCTCCCCCTCTTCCTAGCTTTTCCTTACTTTTTTGAATTTTTCTTTGTATTTTATATTTTGATAAACCAATAAAAAAGTTTCAAAAGAAGCTATGGTAAATTTTCTACAAGCTGTTTACAATAAGAGTTTGTTAACAGAGGGTTTTGGAATTTTAATCTCGTCTCATTTTCATTATTAATTATGATCTTTATTTTTATATATTATTCTTATCATTTTTGTTTTTCTTGTTAACTATTTTGTTATCGATACAATATATAGATGGCAGACTAACAATATGTAAATAGATTCAGTAGTTGAGGAGTTTAAAGGGTTTTTGGTCTGTTTTGTAAGGTGTGGGATGTTTTATGTAATGTGTTAATTTTTAAGACACTTTTTTAATGTCTTGTTTGTTGCTTTTGTTTCTTTTTCTTTTTTATTGTTTTTCAATATTTTGTGTTTTTTATTTGAAACTTTTTTTGAATAAACTAAATATTATAATTTCAAAAAAAAGATAAAAAGATTAATACCATCTCTGGATTCCTAGCTTTAATGTCAGAAAGGGGATTTTGTTTTCATTGAACTATTTGACTATTCCACTTACGCTGTTGCGGGTGAGAATTTAACTGGGGACTTTTAGAAATTTGTCTTTAATGACTATAATGTGAGACCAGTCTTGAATAGAGATAGGCATTTCTTCTCTTCCTGGATGTGAAAATTATAATTGTTTTGGCACAACAAGGCACTGGGCCACATAAACAAGGGAAGCCCCATCCGCAGGATGCAGGCAGTACGCGAAGCCACGCCCCCTCTGATCCACGGAAAAACCATTCTCCACGGAATTGGTTCCTGGTGTCCAAAGATTTGGGGGGGGGGTGCTACTCTAAGAGAACTGCCTATATGGCAATAGGATCTCATTAGCTTTCTTTATTAATATTTATTAATATTAATTCTGCCTTATTAAGAAAGAAAAAATCCTCTACCCTTCTCTGCTTTCTGGGGGGTGTTTTGCTCATTCCTTCCTGGAAGAGGGCAGAAAGATTCATGCCATGGGTAGCTCAGATTCAGAGGATCCTGATGGTAAGAAATGTGTTCTGGATGGGTCAAGCGAGCATCAGCCCGAAAAACTGGTGAGCAACCAAGCACCTGAGGCCGATCCAGCCAGCAGTCCCCAAAGGAGCTGCTCCTGGAGCCAAGGCAGAGGACCAGGAGCCAGTCTTTGAGCAGTTGCATGTTACAGTGAACAGAGCAAAAGCACGTGTCTTGTCAACCAACCAAGCTCTTCCCATCCTTCAGTAGTCCCCACAGGGTACTGGCATAGAAGCCACCATTGGCTGAGCTTCCCTTGTTGGATAGAACTGGCTGGTTTGAACTTCATGTGTCCAGAGATTTGAACCTCTGGCATCCTGAAACTGCACACTTGAATGCATAGACCAGGGTCAGGAAGTTCGTTCTAGAAAGGGCCAGCTCTCACCCCTCCTCCACCTCTGTGGATGTCTCTGGAAGATCTTCAGACCAAGGAGCATGGTAGCGATTGGACAGTGCCAGCTTGCCAACAAGGAGGCTGTCACTAGCACTGCTCACTAGCACCCCAAACTTCAGTCCTGCCCCTTGCACCAGAAGCTTGGCCCTATTAATTTACTTGCAGGCTGAATGAACAGCCAGTAGGCAAGTTTAGAGCCATGGTCCACTTTTTGCCAACTCCTGGCCTTTGAAGTCTTCTGTCCACTTGGGACTCTTGTTGCATGCTTTCAGTTTGCTGATTAAATGAGAACATTGAAGTCTAATCCCTTGAATGCCATGCTACTGGGGAAGGTTATGTATGCATTTTCCTGCTTGCCACTCTCTGGAGCATCACAAAATGATTCTTTATCTCAGGGCTGTTCTCCTCTGACCACAAGTAAAGAGTTTGTCTTCTGTCTTTATCAAGAAGAAGAGTGAAATACTAGCCATTGAAAGGAAAACAATTGGCTTTAAGGGTGGTTTATGGTTCGTTGTGCAAGAAAAGAGTAGTTGCGGATGAGAAGAGAGACAGCTGAACAGTGATGTCAAACCTGACTCTACTCCATAGTTGCCTGCACCTGCTTTCGCTCGCAGTGTGCCATACAGTGATAGGAGGGGGGGTGTGAATTCCTAAGTGGGGGGGGGGAGTCTACAGAATGCAAGAGTGCCTTCTATTGCCAGCAAGACGTTATCCACCAAGGACAAGGTATGAAGATTATGTGAGCAGCAAAAACAGTCTTTCCCAAAACAAAAGAACTGAACTCAATTGGTAAACTATGAACTGTGGGTGGCCTGGAGGGGAAAATGTGGTTTTACCTACAGGGGTTTTTGTAGGAAAATCCGAGAACTGACTTTGTTTCTGCTATACCTAGATGGAGTTTTCAATAAAACTACACTCTTGGTAATTATAAAGAGCCGAGAGTTTCTTTTGTTGAATGTGCCAAATGGGACGGTTAAGTCACTTCTCACAGGAGTGCCTATCTGGATCCCACTGGAAGGTCAAAGACCCGAGATGTGGGCAACAAGCAAAGAATCTGAGGAGAAGAAGAACCTGGAGGAGCCTCTGGCTCAAGAAGCCCCAGTGGCGCTGCAGACCGGGGCAGAGCCGCAGCTGCCGTGCATGCATTTCAAATTGAGGACTGAGAAGCCGAAGCCTCTTTAACTGGCCAAATGGGATGGCTGACAAGTGGCCTGGTGAATGGGCTGTATGCCACACAGGAATTAACATTTTTAATTTCCTTCTGTTAAGTGATCTTATTTTTGTTCTGTAAGTACATAATTTCTGTACAGTTACTTTTTCTGTATTAATGGAATATCTAGATACCTGTGTGAACTGTTCAGGACAAGCTTACAGTCCTTTTTAAAACCATCACCAAGGAACTTTACAGTGAGAAAGAAAGTGGAACTTCCAATTTTGGTCTGCGGAAGAAGAGAAAAATCCTGATTGAAAAAGAGAGTAAATTGCCTCTCCATGTAAGAAGGTTGCCTGCCATACCAAATAGGTACCCAGGTTAATATGGGAATGGAGAGCCAAATCACCAAGAGGAAAGTGTGGGCTATGAGAAGGAATGGATAGGGTTCACTCTCCACTGCAAGATGTCAACAGGTGCTGACATAATTACAAATGCAGGAGACGAAGAAAACAGCCCTCGATAAGAAATGTGTACAGTGTCATTCCTGACAGCTAGGAAATGCCAGGGAGATAATGGATGAGTCGCGTGATGCAGTTGTCTTGCCCCACCAAGGTGAAACGTTTTCATTAAAGACTCTTGAATAGTATTCCTGTCTCACCTGCTATCAAATGTCAGTCTTATTGTTGGAATGGAAGGTAGGGGGAGGTAGTGCATTTCAGATAAAACTCCTTGTTTTTGGTCTATGTAAACAGCTGACTAATAACATTTAAATTTAAAAACAATCTAAATTGTAAAAAAAACTGTTTATAGAAGGACTTAGAGAAAACCAACCAACCAACAAAAAAACCTAAATAGCAGCGAACAGAGGTCAGCAACATGTCTATCATTCCCCCAAATTACATATTTTTAACAAAATGTTCAAAACTTGTTTACCTTTTAAAACTTTTCATTAGATTTTTACGCATGTCTTGTTTTTTAAATCTTTGATTTTTTTTAAAAAAAAGCAATATCTGTTTTTCAATTCATTTTTTAAACTTTTTGGATCCCTGACTTACATTAAACAGTCTTTTTCTGTGCTCACCTAGTCAGGAAACTATTGATGCCTGCTCTGCCCTATGTACCATGACATATTGCTGCCGTGGTCGAGATTTAGTGTAGAGAGGCAAGTTGAAATACTAGCAAATTGAAATGTGGAAATGTAATTACCAGCTGCAATGTTGAAAGGAAGCCCAAGCAGGTTGTTCGTGCAGGTCGTTATATGGCTGTGGCAGGCAGTCCAGTTTTCCCTGAAATTTTCTGCTTTTAAGCAGGACTTTTAAAGATTTTGGAGAACACCAAGGAAGTTGGTCAACCAGGCTTGGAGTGGGCAAGGAAAATGAAAGATACCAATTTGTTTGATGGGATAACTTGTAGTTAGCAGCTGCTGTTCCTAAATTCCCCATTCTCTGTGATAGAAAGGATTAACTAGGCTTGGAGTGGGCAAGGGAAATGAAAGATGGCAATTCGTTTGGTGGGGCTTGAAATTAGCAGCTGCTGTTCCTAAATTCCCCATTCTCTGTGATGGAAAGCCTGGGGGGATTAGTAGGAGAGACACTGCTCCGGGCCTGCATGCCATAGTGTTCCTTCACTTGAGTTAGGGCACTCATCAATCTTGTATTGGCTGAATCCAGGGAGAGGATCCTTTTCTCCTGCAAGAACAACAGGAAACAAAACCAGATCACATTTGTCTATGTTCACCACAACCAACAGGACTTCACTGGATTTGAAACAGTGAAGGTAAAATCAATGTTTTATCACTTCTTCTAAGAGTTTTTCCTAGCCCATCAACCAGGGGCGGGTTCTAAATTTTTTTACTACCGGTTCTGTGGGCATGGTTTGATGGTCATGTGACAATTCTTTAGGATTTAGCAGAGGTACTGGTCTATCAGGCTTTTAACTGCTTGCAGAGCTGTATCGGTCTACCCATTTGTTTTTGGAGCGCACCGGTCTACCCATTTATTTTTGGAGCATTCCGGTCTACCTATTTGTTTTTGGAACGCACTAGTCTACCACCACACTGCCTTTCACCGCTGATCAGCTGTAAGGCGGCCCTTTGAAGTGCTGCGGCAAGAGTTTAAACAGTTTTTTTCCTTCTAGCCAATCAGCTGGGACTCGAGAGGCAGCAAATAGACTGGGGGCGGAGCCAGGCAGAGGTGGTATTTACCGGTTCTCTGAACTACTCAAAATTTCCACTACCGGTTCGCAAGAACCAGGGAGAACCGGTAGCAACCCACCACTGCCATCAGCCAAATGCAACAGGCTTGCCTCTTTCAGCTCTCCAGAATCTCTTCTGTGGGAGTTGCCAATTTATAAATGTACAAATGGATCACACTGAAATACTGAGGCAAAACCCAGAAGACAACAGAAGTTTAAGGATTGGCTCTTACACAAAGGAAAACAGGAAACGGTGGTAGACTAATAAAAAGGCAGATTATTCCAGAGTTTGGATGTATACAGATCTGGGATCTATAAAGACACCAACCTGAAGACAACTTGAGAGAACTAACTGACAAATATCATGGCCATCAGATTCCAACAGTGTGAGAATGCAGGTAGAGAAGCATATATGGCCATTATATCTTGGCACAGTTTGAGAATATTCAATAATCTCAGTACTGGTTTGGGTCTCCCAGAGGACTGTCATAAAATCAGTGAAGGAGTAAGGTGTTTATTACCCATTTTCCCACAGTGGACATAGTCAGGAACAATGTGAAATGTGGTGGTCAGAAGGAGTTTTGTCACTAACAGCTACACAGAAAATGTAGGCATGCATCTGAAAGGCACCAGAGTTTAAAAATACTAACATCTCACAGGGATAAATGTGTTTGTGGAATGTGTTTGTGAAAAGGGGCAACTGTACATTCATGACAGCAGAATGATACTATAATTAAAATTGCCTATAGTCAGCTCATTTTTTATGAAGTAAGTCCAGTGTTTTGTCTGACTAGATCTCAGTCCCCATCTCCCTACAAAACAATCAGTTCCTTCTCAGAAATAATTCTCCCATAATGTCATAAAATAAAATATTTTTAAAATTGCAAAACATACATTTATTAATTTCTTTAGAATGGAATTCTTATGGATTATGAAATCCACAAACAATGAAATTCAGAGCAGCTGGAAACTGGAATGCATAAGGCTAGGGTTGGGGAAACCTAAGGGCATGGGGACAAGCCAGGGCAATACTCAACTAGAGATCTAATTGGACATACTTGCCCATTTGAATGATCTCCTCTCCTTTTTAACAAGTGTAATTTAACACAGAGATGATGTCAATTGCCATTACAAACAGATGTATAGCCTAAAGAACAGCTCTGTTAATTGGGGGGGGCAAGCAGTAGTGATATACAGGCTACCATACCCTCAACAGGCATAAAAAAAAAAGAAAAAAAGACTGACAGGAAAAAAAAAAGGATTTGCTGGTTGAGTAGATGGAAAGAGGGCATTCTAAGCACAGGATGAGAAATCAATCTCTATGCAGTTCCTAATTCCACAAAGTTTCTCTGTCGGATAGAATAGAATGAATGAGCTGGAAGGGACCTTGGAGGTCTTCTAGTCCAGCCCCCTGCTTAAGCAAGAGAACCTGTACCATTTCAGATAGGTGACTGTCTAATGTCTTCTTAAAAACATCCAGTGATGGAGCGCCCATGATTTCTGAAGGCAAACTATTCCACTGGTTAATTGTCCTCACTGTTAGGAACTTTCTCCTTAATTCCAGGTTGCTTCTCTCTTTGATTAATTTCCAACCATTGTTTCTCGCTCTGTCCTCTGGTGCTTTGGAAAATAATTTGACCCCTTCTTCTTTGTGGCAGCTCCTCAAATACTGGAATTTTGTCTGGGGTTTTTGTTTTTCACTCTCGTGTTGAAATAGTCTATCACAAAGCCTTCAGCCAGATTCTACACTGCTCTGAATGAATCAAACAGCTTGAAGATAACCCACGTGGGCCTAGTTCTCAGCAACCGTATGGAACATCATTCATAAATAACTAAGGAACAGAAATTATGCTTCTATCAATTCAGTGAGCTGGGGAAATTTGCTTTCAATTTAGCCACTGTCTTTATTTAATCTCCAGCAGTTCATATTGTAAATCCTGTGGCATTATTCCATACTTAAAATCAGCTTTTTAAACAAAATCTTCAGAATTATTTTCTTCTCTTGATAAAATTTGATAAAAAAAGGGAAAAAAACCTGCTCCTGAATAACTCACCAGGAGAACATTTATATTCATCATAGAACACTAAGCAAACACTTATAAATATGAATTATAGCCAAAGTAATATCAATATATTTTAGTGGATGGAATGCCCTGGAGTGAGATAGTTTGGTATAAGAGTTAAGGCACCAGGCTAGAAACTGGGTGTCTATGAATTATAGTCTCACTTTAGGCACAAAGCTGGGTGACTTGGGACAGTCCCTCTCTCTCATCCCTACGAAGCAAGCAATGGCAAACTACTTCTGAAATCTTGCCAAGAAAACTGCAGGGAGCTGTTCAGATAGTCATCAGGAGTCAACATTGACTCGAAGGAACAGTAATAACAACAACAAATCCATGGAAAATTTACAAAAGCAGCTTAGAGCATTTTCTAGCTCTTTCGTCTTGGTATATTTAGGAAAATGTGACTAATGCTAACCCTAATATTGATCAGTGTTAAAGTAGGAGATGATTCTATAGGCAAAGGGTATTTTTCATGTGCAGGTCTCATAAGGGTTAGCATAAAGAAAACAACAAATTTATTTTGTGTTTTAACTCCTATTTTGTCCCCTTTTGTTTTATTTTAAAATAAGTGCAACTAAAAATTGTAATTCAAAGCATTATGCACTGAACAGAATTCTGCAACCGTGGCTTTCAGCACATGACGCTTTGAGTATCTGGATGGTAGACACTTTGATCCATTATGTTCTGGGCTAAGAGAAAAGCCATCTTGAACCATAAAGATGCTGCCTCTGAAAACATGACTCATAGCCTTAATTTCAGAATAAAACAACAAAAAAACAAGGTATGGTAAAGGTGTAATAACAATACAGGTACTGTATGTAAAAACATCATTCCTTACCTGTGCCTCTATTATTTTCTGCTTAGCATCAATGGTCGCTTGCATTTCTGCATGGTCTTTCTTTAGCTCCTCTTCCACAGCCATTAATCTACAAGAAAGGAAAGAAAGAATTTGGAGATATCTGGAGCATCACAAAAGAAAACAAGACAAAACATTGCTGTAGTAAAGATGCTAAAGATGAAAAGATTGCCATCTGCTGTTTTATTCCTTGAGCATGCATTTCAGTGAATAAGCTCCAAATTGTTTGAGTGGGTGTTACAAGGAAATTGGGATGCCTACATCAGCCCAAATATCGTCTACATGGATTGGGATTTCAATTTCCAGAATTCCCAGTTTATATGTCTAAAATCACTTGGCCTAAATTGCATTTCAATGAAACTGAATATAAACTACACAAACTTTGAACACAGGTTGCCTATTCATGTGATGAGTCTAACAATATCAAATAACAGTATGAATTTGGACTAAGAGCAACCTACTATTGGAAATACAGAGGATTTTCTTTCTATCTTCAGCCCCTCCCTCCCTAACCTGCTAATGATGCTCTTCATCTGGCTATCCTTCTCCTCCTGCTGCTTTCGCAGCCGCTCCTTGCTGTCTTCCATCATTGATCTGTGCTCTAAAATGAGTTTCTGCATTTGTTGTTCCTGCACAAGGAGACGCTGCTCATACTCCTCCAACCGGCGACTTGATGCCTTCAGGCGATCTTTGAGCTTGACAATCTCTTGCTGATACTGAAGACGGGAGGAAGGGAGATAAAAAAGTTTCATTATTTATTAATTCATGAGCCAGTTTCCAGGGCTCAAGGCAGCATAAGAGAAATAATAGGAAGTCATTACTAGAAGCTTTGAATTCTTTCATTTTTTCCTAAATAAGAAGCATCAACAAAAACAAACAACTGAAGCCACAAGAAAGAATCAATTGAAAGCCCTAAATAAATTATTTAAAAATAATTTCATTTCAGAAACATGTAACTTTTTTCATATATGGAACTGGTATTTCAAACAGGTCCTACACTGATACAGGAATATTACCAGCTTCCCCTAAGCATGATGGACTCAAGTTCTGAAGGACTTTATTAACATGTGAAAACACTGAACTGAATCTAGAAACATACTGGCAATCATGGCCAGTATGAAGAAATGTGTTCAGACAGCTTCACTCATTGTCACTAGACTATGCAGCCTCTTTTCTTAGCTGGAGCTTGAATTGACTTCCGAGGACAATACAGCAGGAAATCTTGAAGGATATGACAGCATGGATTAGTTTTTTAGTAGCCTGAGTATCCAAGAACGGGTCCAGCAAAAAAAGCAAGAGAAGCAGCCGCAAAGTATACTGCTCTTACAAGAGCTTGAATTAAAAATAACTCTTACAAACAAGGAAACTGAATCCCAAAGAATAGGAAAATTAATTCAATGGTTTTGAAAGTAGCCATCTTAAAGATTCCTGATTTACCTGGACACAACTTCTAGCCCCCAATTATCTGACCTAGCTTCCAGGCCCTGACAAAGGAAGAACAGCAACATCCAGATATTTGATAACTGAAAAAGAGAGCTGTGCAACTTTATACCAATGATCTCTGCACGTTATCTTTTCCAGTGACTTCTTATAGATGTGGCTAGAAGCTAGAACCTAGATAACTGTTACCTTTTCTGTATGATTGGCTTCATCTGGGTTTTGCTCTGCCTCTTCCTCCACTTGCTCATACTGTCCATTGTTTAAGACCCAAGCAGCTGTCCTTTCCACAGGTGACATAGTGGCAGAATCTACAGGCGACTGCATCTGCAGGGAGAGTGATATGGATCTCAAATGCATTTAAATTCCAGAATTGGTTTTCTAATATCTTTGTTTCTTCCAGGTATTGTCAATTTTCAAAACAACTCTGGCTGAGGCTTTTTTTTTTTTTTTGTTTCTCAGTTGCCACACAGATGTGGGGAGGATAGGTTTGGAATGCTATTCTACAGATGCTAGACATAACACAGGCAGAGGCTGGTAGAGCCAATGTCATCTCAACAAGTGCTGAGCAAGAAAGGAGGGGAGTGCCTGAAGAGACTGCCATTTACCCAGTGGGGATATGTGATTTGTGACACTTGGGGGCAGGAACCATTTACTCTTTTAATTATACTGAACCACAGGAAATATTTAGAGTTGGCTTCACATTTGAATGAGTCAATATGATGTACCTAATAATGAGAATCTTTGATAAGAGTTCCAGTGTCAGAGTTCTGACTTGGTTGGGATCATTACTCGGAACCATGACATCAAGCCAACTGTACTAAACCAACCCTCCTGGGTCCTGAGCCCCGGCCACCTACCCGGGAAGATGGGTAAGACTCAGGGAAAATGGTGGAGAGGGTGAAGGAGAGATGCCGACTGGAGCCATTAGTGGAGACTATGACCCATGTGATCCAACCACTCCATAACTGTCGGAGCCTGAGTTCACCTGTGGTAGCCTGACTGATCAGTCTGCCTCCTCGGCTGGCTGAAGCGGCAAGACTGGAGGGGTGTCCGTGGCAAACCCTGGGGATCCTGGACCGTACCAATGGGTTTACCCCCCAATCCCTGATTGCTACCCTGGCTACTGGGCACCTCTACCTCTGCCGGTGGACCCTCTCCAATTGGAGTCACATTTGACAGAAACCCAGACAAGCTGGCCTTCTTTCTGAACTAGGTACTGGCTCACCTGGATCGCTATGTCTTAGCTTACCCAACCAGGAGAGTGATGGTGCTAACCTGGACATGGAGACCACAGAGTGGGTGGCAAGCCTCCATGATGAGGACTCGCCAGAGTTGGGGAATGCCATTCCTGGAGGAACTATGGGCCAGATTCGAAGATGAGACACAAGCCCAGCAGGCAGAGGCGGAGATACAAGGCTTGAAGCAGAGGGGCCAGTTGGTGAAGGAGTACATTCGGGAGTTCTGGAGGGTCGCTGGGAAGCTATGGTACTGGCCTGAACCACTGCTTGTCTACTACTTCAAAAAGAGCCTTGAGAAGGAAGAACTGCACCGACCAGATCAATGAATGGTACCGGGCTGCTACGGTGCTAGATATTGAACTGAGGAGTTGCAGACCGAGAGGCAACACTGACACAAGATTGAGAAGGAGCCAGGAAAACTGGCCAGCTAGGAGGCAGGTAACCTCAACTGCTCCCACTGATCTGCCGGTGGGATCAACCTGGGCCCTCATCCAGTGTTTCTGATGTGGCCAGCAGAGACACTGAGCTCCTGCCCCAAAACTGAAGCCACTTGTGCTGGCAGCGATGAAGCTGAGGAAGCCAACCTGGAAGGCATCAGGGAAGACTAGTCTGGTTCACCAGGCCATGGAGGTCACCACCTGCTCAACTGAGGGGAGTGGAACTCCGGCTGAAGGGGAGTCACCACCTGCGTCCTATGACAGTGACAATGAGATAGAAATCCACTCCTTCACTATTCCCATTAAGATTGTGGTGCCCAAATCAAGAGTTCAGGAGAGGTTCGATGCCCTAATGGACTCAGGGTGCACTTGGTGTTTAATGAGCCTGCCAACTATGTTGAAACTGGGAATCTGAGCAAAGCGGCTATCCAGGGCCTTGAGATTCAAGCAGGTCAATTTCTTGCTAATCAGGGGGACTGCTGCTACCCACCTGACCAAATCAGTGAGGCTAGAAATGGGACAGTACTGGGAGATGATTCTGTTGGTAACAGTCCCAAAAATGACTGAAGCAGTGATCCTGGAACTGGTCTGGCTGGACAAGTAGGGCCCAACAATATGGTGGGAAAGGGAAACAGGAAGATGAGGCCCTCTCCCTCTTCTGCATGACTAGGACACGCTACCCCTCCAGCAAAATGCAGGTGATAGCCTGAATACTTGAGTGCAACATTGGAGCAACCACCAGGGACCCAGATCATCTTCAGAGAGTACCAGGAGCTGGTGGAGGTGTTCAGTGAGAATGTGGTGTACTGCTTCCACACTGCCCCACAAACTGCGCAATCAAAATCATACCAGGGGCGAAACTACCTAAGCCCAAAATATACTCCATGATCCCTAGGAAGTTGAGGGAGTATATTGACAAGAACCTATCCAGAGGCTTCATCCAACCAGTGAAATCTCCGGTTTAGTTTAAGGGAAAAAAAGATGGAATGAGATTATGTGTGGACTTTAGAGGGAGTATGCATGGAAAACATGTACCCCCTCCCTCTGATGAAAGACATGCTGGCACACCTGGCTAAGGGAAAGATATTCACCAAACTAGACTTGAGAGAGGCATATTATCAGGTCAGTATCCCAGAGGGGGATGAGTGGAAAATGGCATTCAACTGTCCACTTGGAACAGTTCAAAGTGATGCTGTTTGAGCTACAGGGAGCCCCCGCAATGTTTATGCAGCTGATTAATTAAATGCTACATGAGCACCTATATAAGAGGGTCCTAGTTTACTTGAATAACATCCTGATCTTCACTAGGACGATGGAAGAACACATCAAACTAGTTCGCCAGGTCCTTAAGAAACTACTGGCAGTGGACCTATATGCTAAATTGTCCAAATGCAAGTTCCATCACACCCACCTGGACTACCTGGTTTACCGAGTGTCAAATGAGGGGATGGAAATGGAAACCGCAAAAGTGAAAGCCATCTTGGAGTTGTAACTCCCTCATACCCACAAGCAGCTACAGAGCTTTCTGGGGTTTACGAATTTCTATCAGCAGTTCATCCCTTCATTTGCAAAAGTAGCCCTGCCGATCACAGACCTATTGAAGACAGGAAATACAGCGGCTAAGCCCCGACCAAGCCAAGCCCTCCAATGGACTATCAAATGCCAGGAGGCATTCGAAACACTAAAGAGGTTGTTCATAAAAGAGCCAGTCCTAAAGCACCCCGACCCCAAGGAGCCTTTTGTTATCCAAGCCAATGCCAGTGATGTGGCCATAGGAGCCATCCTTCTTCAGAAGAATGAGGGGGGTGAGACTTACAGTTGTGTGCCTACACCTCTCAGAAACTCATGGTTACTGAGAGGTGGTGGGCCATAAGGGAAAAGAAGGCTTTTGCCGTTTGATGGGCGCTGCTGATCTGGCAACATTTCCTAGAGGGCAGCAAGGTGCTTTTTGAAGTATGGACTGATCACAAAAATCTGGAGGCCCTCGCAAGCTCTCACCCAAACAGGTCTGATGAGCACAGTACTTCAACCGGTTCAAGTTCACCTTAAAGCATATCTTGGAGGGAAGAAACTTCCTGGGCTATGCTCTTTTGTGAATGCCCCAGTACAAGAGCAGCAAGGGGGAAGTGGTCAATGCAATAGCAATAGCAATAGCACTTAGACTTATATATCACTTCACAGTGCTTTATAGCCCTCTCTAAGCGGTTTACAGAGTCAGCATATGACCCCCAACAATCTGGGTCCTCATTTTATCCATCTTGGAAGGATGGAAGGCTGAGTCAACCTTGAGCCTAGTTTGATTCGTTCTGCCAAACTGCTGGCAGCTGGGGATCAGCAGAAGTAGCCTGCAGTACTGCACTCTAACCTCTGCACCACCACGGCTCTCCCTCCCTCAGCAAGCAGCCCAAGTGACCATGAGGCAATGAGTCAGAAAACAGTCAGCCGAGCCCAGTAATGAGTTGACCTAGAAGCTCAAGGCAAAGCTAAATTCTGACCTCTGGTTCAAAGACCACCAGCAACTCCTGACCACCAGGGATGGGTTAGCATGGAAGGGGACCAAACTGTATGTCCCAAGGAGTCTACAAGTCCAAGTTCTGCAGAGAAGCCATGATGCCAAAGAAGTTGGACGCTTTGGGTTTTTGAAAACCCTACACGTGGCCAAGAGGTGGCCAAGAATGAAAAAAAACATAGAGAGTTATGTTAAAAACTGTGTGACTTGCGCAATGATGAAGAAGAGGCCAGGTTGCTGCAACAAGTAGCTGAGCTGACCCGACCCTGGGAGGGAATTGTGATGGACTTCATAGTGGAACTCCCTGAGAGTGGAGGAAATACAATTATTTGGACAGTAATTGATCTATTTTCAAAACAGACTCACTTTATAGCCTGTCCTGGACTACCCTCAGCTCCCAGAAACTTGTGAAGCTGTTCCTGAAGCACATTTACCAGCTGCATGGAGTACCAAGGAGAATCATCTCAGATCAGGGAGTTCAATTTATGGCCAAATTTTGGAGGGAATTCATACGGTCGATTGGTTCCACCAAGGTCTTAGCCTGGGTTTTCATCTGAGTACCAATGGTGCAGCAGAATGAGCTAACGCAATGGTGGAACAATACTTGAGATGTTACATTAACTACCAGCAAACAAATTGGGCAGAGCTCCTGCCGTTGCTGAAGTTGCGTATAACAATGCAGTGCATAGTAGCACGGGACTTACTCCCTTTAAGGTAGTGAATGGAGTGGAATTTGTCCCAATGCCTGAGTAACCTAAGGAACCCCCCTCCTCAGTCAGTCTGACAGAGTGGGCCGATTAGTTTCAGAGGGCTTGGGGAAATGTAAAGCAAATGCTAACTAAAGCAGCAGAGGTTCAAAAGGAGCAAGCAGATAAAAGGCAGTTCCCTCAAAGACCATTTCACATTGGGGAAAAGGTTTATCTCTCCACTAAATACTTAAAATTAAAACTGCCTTGCAAAAAACTATGTCCGAAGTTCCTAGGCCCATTCCCAATAGTGAAAGTCATCAACCTGGTCAGGATGGAGCTAAAACTTCTCTGCCCACTGGGGAAAGTGCATCCTGTCTTCCACAGCAGCTTATTGAAGCCAGTAATATGTTCAGAGCTAAGACCAGTAGCTCGGATAGGTCCTGGTCCAATA